TCATTTTTATACTGGTTTTATATAATAAGCATTATTCTTTGTAAGCTTTTTCCCTTTAAAATAAATTTTATTTGATTCACTCATTCATTCCTTTGTGCATCTGGCTTACTGAGTGAGATAGTCGTGGCTCCTGCCCTTTCAGCCTGTAGTGCACCGGGGAGATCATGCTTTCTCCATGCTACATAAGTTTTTAAATAGAAATGCAGACACAAAAACAGGAAAACCTAGTAGTAAAATCACTAGAAAGAATAAAAATAACAACAGCGACAAAGATCATCTGGAGTCCCTGAGTTTTCCAGAGCTGAATTTTGCCCTGGTATCTTGGATCATGGCTCCAAAGGCATGCAAGATCTCATGTCAACGCAGTGTAGTGATGTTGGATGTTGCCATGGTGGCAACAAGGACTGGACTCCTCTTGGGGACTCCACGGCACATCTGCAGAAGCCTTTTTGCTTATTTGTGCTCAAGCAGGTGAACATAGTCTGGCGTCTCAATATGCTCAGCCTTGTGAGGCCTTTTCTTGTACTTCGACCTCATGAGAAGATGAGTTTGTCACCACTTTATCAATGGCAATTCAATTTCCAGGCTTCCTGATTCAAAGTCACTTTTTCCACCATCACTGGAGTTCATCTATTGCTGTTCTCTCTCCCTTTTTTATTCTAAAAGAACAACTTTGTTGAAATATAATTTTTAAACATGAAACTTTCCCTTTTTATTTTGCTAATTTTTAAAACATTTTAAACATAAATATTTGCAGTATTAGTAGTATATTAGTACGTATTTGCATAATGATTGTATTCATTGTGGTCCCTTTGAAGTTGTACAATTCACTGTTTTTTTTTTACATATTCACAGTTATGCAGACATTACTGTTTTCTAATTCTAGAACATTTTCTATCAACTCCTCAAAATCCAAAACCTATTAACATCATTCCTTACTCCTTTATCCCCCAGCTCCTGACAGCCACTATTGTGTGTGTGTGTGTGTCTGTGTACACATTCAGGATATTGTTGAAACCCTTCCAAACGCGGTCTTTTGTGTCTGGTGACATTGAAGCTGTAGTGCATCTTTAAAATGGTGTTCAGTTCATCTCAGATCACCTAACAGTTACTGAATAAAAGCTCGTTGGAACTGTGGGTAAACAAATATGAATTAGACAGTCTAGGGACCTAGACAACACCATATGGTGGGAAGACCAGCTTGAGAGTGGGGTACAATACTGAGGTGTAGATGGAAGATGGCCAGTGTTTGTCTGGGCCATGCTAAGGGTCAACAGAGCTACAAAGAGATGTGAGAAATGTCCATTTTCATCCAGATGACTGGTAGGTTACTTTATGTCCCTCAGTCCCTCTACTAAAAGATGGGCTACTTTCAATTTCCAAAACACACCAAGCCCTTTCCTTCTTTTCCTGGCAGCTTCACACATAATCCTCCCGTTGTCTAGAAAGTTGGGTTCCTCCTTGGCCCCACCTCCCTACTCTCTTAGTTAATGGCTGCTCATCTTGGCCTGTGAGCTAGCTCTGCAGCAAAACTGCCTGCTCCAGACTAACCCACATTACTCTGCTGGGCCAGTTCTCAGACCTTTGTATACCTCCTGGTGCTTATCCCAGGTACAGCTGTCACTACTTAGAGTCCTTGCCCCATGGAACAGGGAACACTGGGATGAAAGGGACTTGTATGCTTTATTCAGCCTTGTGTCCTAGGCCTGGCCATCGTGTCTGACATGTGCAGTGCACGTGTGTTGCAACAATGGCATCAGTGCTAAGTAAGGAGTTTGCATGGTTTTGGATTCCATGCACACTGAGGTCCATTCATATCCTTTGAACTCTCTGGTCACATGCTACCATATTTGGAGTGAAATGGATCGTAAGTGGCTTTTTTCCAGTAAGGGCCTGCATGTCCTCTGCCTGCTTTTGTGTCAACAAGATGTGAATGTGAATTCATTAAAATACATCTTCATCCCACTTGAGTTCTTTGATGACAAACTTCTTCATAAAGTAAGTTATATTTTGGATCTTGTTTATCAGTTTTGTAATAGACAAAGCCCTGTGTTCCTTTGCTGGAAGACGACTTGGATAAGGCTTTCACCCTTGTTGCTGCTCATACCCCTCACAGCTCCTGCAGTTTCACCTTTTGTCATTCCATTGAATGGGAAAATAGTTTGACAGAAATCATCATTTCCTTACACAAAGCTATGTCAGTGAACCTAGGAAGCATATAGTTGCAGTGGTTTGATGCCTTTGGTCAGTGAGTCACCTAATGAAATTCCAAGCCACAGAAAAGTCAAATGGTGTAAGATATATATTTTGCTCTTTGGTCCGTTTGATAGCCAGTAGCTGAAATGAAGATATTGTGGATCATTTTAGGTGCTAATAAAAATAATGTTCTGAGAGGTTGTTCTCTAGGGTTGAGGAAGACAACAAAACAATACAGTATTGCAACTCTAAGGCCTTGGTTTAGAAAAAGCTCTAGTATATTCTGTGGCTGGCAGCCATAGACTTTGTAAATTAATTCTTTGAGTACCCACATCATTTAATCATGTTAACTATGGTTTGTTTCTGTGCTCAAGAATTCATAGCAATTAGCTATTCATAGTTTCATGGGTTATACATTTTTTAAAATTCATCAGAAGTTTACAATACCATGGAAGTATGGCCATGCTGAAGAGGTTAAACATTTGCACTGAGAAATAAGATACGAAAAGGTCAAAAAGCCAGTGGATTAGGATGAGGCAGGGACTATATAACAACAATGAATACAATTTTAGTTTTTATTTTGATGTACTCCATGGTGTAACTTTAGAAGTAATATATTATTAAACTGATATCCTACCTCAGTGAAGTAGAGGTTGGGAATTCAGTTTGAAACCTAAGCAAACTGAGGGTCAAAGGCAGGAAGTGATTTCCCTCACAGGCAGGGGCTAAAGCACCATAGCCTGAGAACATCCCATCATGGTTTGGGGATGAGGTTCAGTGCTCGGTGTCTTACTATGACCGAGTGTCACTGCACTGAGATGGGTATGGATGGGCCCGTCTGAAGCTCACAGCCTCAGCTTCTGCTTCACCAGTGTCTCTCCCCTCCTGTCACCTGGATGCTGCTCACCAGGGTCATGCAGATGCTTACAGGCATTCTGCTGTTTCTGCCAGGGAGTAGCCATGCATCACACTAGCTATTAGTTTAAAGTTGAGCTCTTCTGTGGAGACAGAAGTGACAGTTAATTCAATCTCTTTCTTTGATCAATTAGGATGATTTTTATTTATTACAGATATTTTATCCCAACAGAAGGTATCTTGGTAAAGTTTCCAAACAATATCAATGCGTGACCTTGGGAGGCCAAGTCAGGGGATCTAATACCTGGAACACTTACTCAGGAAGGCCTCTTCACCCTTGCATTGCAGAGGACCAGACCAGGACAGGGGCTCACCCAAAGACACACAGGACAGCAGCCACATCTAACTGCTGAGTTGCTGTGCATTCATTTCCCTTGACTAAGTTAGTTCCACTATGAACAAGGTGTTGGTTTAGTGTTGAGGAAATCAGCAACCACCAAGGCAGACACAGTCCCTTTCCTCATGGAGTTCTGAGGCCAGCATTAAATGTTGAGCAGTTGCACAGTCTGTCATTTCTCAGTACTCTGTGCATGGAGTGAGGATGGGTTATTGAGGTGTGGACCTAATGGCTCAGTCTAGGACAAATAGAAACCAGATGAGGCCATTATTGAATGATGTAGAGTTGAGCTCTGAAGTCTGAATAGCAATTGAATAGAGGGAGGGGTGAGGAGACACAATTCTCAAGAGTCCAGGATCAGAACAGCACAGGTGGAGGTCCCTATGCAGCATGTTGCTTCCTGGAAAATATAGGGAATTTACCTCCCAAGTACTGGCTATTAGAGAAAACCATGGCCCTGAACCAAGGTGGACACACATCAGCCCATGGGCTTGGTGCTTTGTCAAAGCCAGTCCTCTGAGAGTCATCTGGTCATCAAACCTGGAATGATCTTGGCATGGTCTAGCACAGTACCCTGCACCAGAACAGTATTCATAATCACATCATGGGATTAAGGCCAATTCTGGGCCAGATGCTATCTGCCTATAGGAAATCTGTGAGATAATAAATGGATTAGTAAAAGTCTCCAAAGGGTGTCAGTTCAGCATATCAGTAGCCTTAATACAAGTTCTTTTGTTAAGAGAGTTTCTCTATTATATTATGGTATTTCAGTAAGAATAATCCATAAAGGCAGTGTGCACACACACACAGACTATTGTGATGGCTGCTTGCATGGGGTTGGGGGAACCAACCTCTTTGTGAGGAGCTGGCCCTTGGTGGAAGGGCATGTTTACCAGCAGACACACTCTCCTGCCTCATAGGTCTCTCTTGGCCTCTTCAACTTCGTGAGATCTGCTGCTTAGTGAAGAGATCAAATACCTCCCTGCAGAAATCTGCCCAATGTGTGAACTTCAGAGTATTGTCACATGTTTTATTCACTTTGTGACTCTGGTGCTCACTTCGGCAGCACATAAACTTTGTCTGCAACTCTGAGGGAAACTTCTTACTTCAGGCAGAGACCAGCACACCTGCTGGGTTTTTGTGGCCTACCAGCAAGATCTGAGGACTCCAGCAGAGATTTGCCTAGGGAGAACAAAAATCACAGCCTCTTGAGTGTTTACATGCCTGAGAGATGGCTGGAATTTTTCTTTCTGAGTTTAGAATTCACTTTACAAATCAGAAAAATAAATCTAAGTGCATGCTCTGCTCAGATGTGAGTTAGAAAAATGAAGGGAAGAATCAAGTGCTCTTTTATTAAGCACTAGAAAGGATGATGGCTTGAAGAAGACATTGGTATTTACACTTCCAACAAGCTTTCTCCCATTTAGTTTTTCAGGGTGTCCTGTAAACAAACCAATTCCTGAAGCAGGTGGGAAAAGTTCTGTCTGGAAAACCTAACTGGCCACATGTGAATGAAGAATAACACATTTCTCCCATTTTGCTTCTTGCCTAGATTCTTTCGTTGGTGGAGTGATCGGCCTCATTTTTGCGTACATCTGCTACAGACAGCACTATCCTCCACTGGCCAACACAGCTTGCCATAAACCATATGTCAGTCTTCGAGTGCCGACCTCGATGAAGAAAGAGGAGATGCCCACAGCTGACAGCGCACCAACCTTGCCTCTGGAGGGGATCACTGAAGGCCCCGTATGACAAGTGTTCTAGGCTGATGGACGCTGAGCCCCCAACACACTCTTGCACCCTGACATTATAACACAATGGAAAAGAGTTTGCTGTAGTGTGTTTCTCATCAGTTGTCTCTCAAAGTTTCCCTTCTGCTTTCATTTTGCCAATGGTGTTCTTGCCACTCTAAGTGTCCCCTAGCAGCAGTTTGAGTTTACAAGGTTTGGACATCAGGAACAATCTGAGAGCTGTGTGGGAAGGAGGCTGCCCAGATGGGATGAGTGTAGCTCAGCTGATTCTTCCACCTGAAATGTTTGCTGAAGCAACCACCTTCCTCTGTTTTCATGGTTGTAAAACATAATAAAACCTCATATCTGGAAGATTTGGTGTTGGCCACACACTGTGACAGAAATCATCCTTTGGTTTCACAGCAGAGGCGCAAAGCCGGCTCTGCCCTCTGAGCTCAGAATCAAAAGCTCACACCTGAGCCATCATCTTCCCATAGCACATGTTTCTGAAATGAATTTTAAAATTATAGGTATAGCTGTGACATTTCCAGGGCTTTGGAAGCACTGATTCAGAAGGATATGAGATAATTCTGTACTTAGACCTATACGAAGTCCAAAGAAAATAAAGAGGCAAAATACTCATGTTAAGGAGAAATTCACTGTAAAGGTCACTGCAGGTGTCTCTGGATTCGTAAGTACAATATTCTTCCAACTTTCCAATCTAGGTGGGGGAGTCAGTTATATATGTAGCTCAGCCTCTTACAGACAATTCTATAGCACACCAGGGAATGACTGTCACCAATAGGAAAACCACTGCTGTGGGCTAATATTAAAGAAGTAGCTGTGTGACCATCAGAGGTAAGAAGTAGTTTGGCAGTGAATCTTTCCTGGGTAGGATCTGTGTTTTGCAGAGCTCTGCTCAAATGTGTTTTTGGGTGGTGGCATGGCCCTGTTCCACTCTGGTAGAACGTGTCATTGTGACAGGTCTCTGGGAGAAGGTACAAGAAACAAGAGTGGAGGATACTGCTTCTGGCTCAGCTCTTCGCATTGCTGGATGCAGCCAATCAACATTAATCTTTTCAGTCTGCACGCAGACTCCTGCTCTATGGCCAGTCTGTTCTTTTCCAAGCTGAGGGCATCCCTTGTTCACATCTGGTCAAATGCTCTGCATGGCTCTCCAAGTTCCTGGGCCTGGATACTTCAAGGTGATACATCTTTAATGTTCAGACAGTGGGTCTGTTTCCAAAAGTCAGTGGAGACTGCATTTTGAAATACTCAAGTGGCTGTATAAATGCCACCCATGTGGTTTTTGGTTGTCTGTGCCTTTGATCGGTCAACTCTGCTAGGGTCCTCACCCTGGAGTACAAGTAGCACCACAAAAAGACCATGGTCAGTGAGCCCCAGTGCAGACTCTACATACAGCTGAGCTTTCTAAACCGATTTTGGCACAGAGCCCTGTGATTGTCCCATGGGTGGGAACAGGTAGGGGAAGTCCTGAACTGACTTCCATCCTAATTCAAACCATAGATTTTATAAAATCACAGAACTACCCTGCCAAGCAACTTTGAAAATGCATGAGAGGTACTTTAAAAGTTAAATTATACTAATTCATAAAACATAAATTTAAATCCAAACTAAGTTCATATCAAATTAAAAGATTAGTGGTCAGATTTAATAAAAATGCCATAATTGTCAAACATAAAGCAAAAACAGAATTCAGAAAGTGGAAGAACTGAGTCTACATAGTTATTTAATTCTATTTTTGCCCAAATTCCACTTTAGCAGGCAGAAGGAAAGTGAAAGAATTATACTTCAGTTAATGATCACTTAAAATTCTGTACCATGTGGTGTAAATTTAAGATAAATACTTAACGTGGCCAGGAAGGACTTTGCAAAGTAACAAAGTACAGAATATTGTTAATGCTGATAATTAGACTGAAAGCTCTGGAACAGGCTGTGTAAAAGCCTTGATTAAAATGTAATTAAAATTACAAAGGACACGATAATGTGAAGCAAATGGCAGGATCCTTAGGAGTCATAATTAACAGTGAAAGCCAGTTCACAAAAGGCAGGTGTTCTGGTGGGTCCGTATGTTTTAATTTCGTGCTCCGTTAATGTGAAGGAAATATAACACTACACACAAATAAAATGAGGGCAGTTGTCCCTTGGTCCTTGACTTTTCCTGGATATAAAGGATTACCAATTCTATCTCTTTGGTGAGTCAGGTTGCCCACTACATGAGTGGTCAGAAGCTGTGGGCCGCAAGGCTTTTCCTCCCTCACTGGATAAACCTGCTCAGAGTCCTTACTGGAGACCAACAGCCTCTATCTACCTGGAGGGACTGCGGAGGAATACAGTGAAAGATGTGTTGGCCTCTTTAGCTCCATGTTGATCTTGTCTGCTTGGGAGGAAGGCAAACCTAGGTTTTGAAAGAAGTGGAAAGTCCTCATTTTTATTTTTATGTAAAATTGTTTGATTTTACCTTGAGCAATTATTCCCACTGAGATGCTTTAAGGTGTAGCTATGAAACACCCAACTAAAAGCAACTTGACCCGTAGGGTTTGTTAATATTATAAATAATAAGAAATGGAGAGTAATGATCTTAGATCCAAGCCCTTTCCATCCTCTTGTTCCACCATCTCACCATGGTCTCAAAGTGACTGTAGCATCCTCAAGAATCATATCCTTGTCCAATCATCTCATGGGGTAAGAGAACTCAGTGGGGCAGTAGGTACCCAGATACTCAGAGGGCTGACATGGGAGAATTGTTTGAGCTCATTAGCTCATGACCAACCTGGATAACAAGAGTAAGACTATCTCTGACATACGTACATACAGACAGACAGACAGACAGACAGACAGACAGACAGAGAGAGACACAAAATAACTCTATGATGGTCTCTATCAGGAAAAAAAAATGTATTTCACAGAATGCCTGTGAAAAATTCCCCCCTATATGAACTGGCTATGACTGTGTTACATGGCCACTGCCAAATCTTAGAAGATCTTGGAAAAATCAGTATCCAGCATTTTCAGACTCGGTAGGAAGTGGGCTCTACCTGTTTGGGAAAAAAGTTAAAGATAGTGGTTTCACTGACAAAAAGTGGTGCTTGACAAAATCCAGTTTAATTAAAACACAAATAAAAATGGCACATAGGCTACATAGAAGTATAGAGCAAGCTATTGGCACCTGTCATAGGAATTTTGAGGGTAGAGTCTGAGTCAAAGAACTGGCTGTCCTATTAATCCATGGAGCCCTAAGGAGCTGCCTTTCTCAAAACTTTTTCTAACTGAAGTCATGAGCTTGTTGTCCTGGATGTTCTACCCACTGCAGGGTTATGGTGCATTCTTTTTATCAACCCTGTCTTTCTCGAGACACTGTCCTTTTCTCTAAACTCACTCTTCCCTTCCCTTCCTTCACTAATCGCTAATCATTTTATCACTAATAATGTCTCTCATTCTTTCCAGCTCAGTGTCAGTAGGTAATATTGGTGGTTATTCGATTCCTGTTTGTATCTGGAATTGACCCCATTTGGGAAGTCTCTCCCTTCACAGGGAAAAATCTGCCCCTGAGCAGAGCCCAGTGGGAAATACCTGGCCAAGGTAAGCCAATGTCAGGCTCACTCTGGAAAGTTGGAAGACAGTTGAGGTAGCATTTTGAAGAGGTTAAACCCAAGCCTCTGGTTCTAAGAACCCCGATCCCCCAGTTTACTGCCTTCCTGAGAGTTCCTGCTCAGTCCTGTGAGCCAATCTTAGCCTATCCAGGCATGAATTTTCAGTAGAGTTGCTTACAACCAAACCAGCTTCTAAATTTCCTCAGTCCCTTCTCCCTGAAGTGGGAGTTTTGACCTAAGGAATCACTGAGCATTGCTTTGATGACAGCAGGCTTTCAAATCCCTCCCAACTTTCAGAATGGATTTATCCAGCAATCTTCCCTTTATCATGCAGATCACACCTGAAAGGTTCAGAGACTCCTAACAGGCTGGAATCACAACTGGAATGCTTCCCAGGTCTTATGTTCAGTGATACTCAACTGCTACAGCACATCCACAGATCAAAATATTCACCAGACATCTAAAAGGAGGCAAGCCTGATATGGTGATTTGATCATGTTTTCAATTACTAGTTTAAAACAAGAGCTGAAACAAAAAATACTTTCTTAATATTTAAAAAATGAACTGCTAATTTCAGGGTGAGTTTAACCATGACTCTTAATGATATGATGCCTCTCTGGGGAGTGTTTTTGCCCATGCTTGTGTCTTTGTGTTTATGTCCTAAAACTCAGGTGGTCCGGGGCATCTCTGTTCATTGTGTCTCTTGGGGATACTGATTCACCGTTTTTGTTAAACAGAGCTACTAACATATTTAAAAATGGTCTTGATGGCTCATAGATACAATCATCTTCATAGAAAAAGTCCAGTCTCAATTAGGATTCATAGTTCAGTGTGTTTTGCACCAGTGCTGGCATATCTGGAGAGGAGAGGAAATTGGAACTGGCAGATTTGAATGAGGGGAAAGGAAAAGGAAATGGCTTTATACCAGTATGTCTCATAAGGGCCTCACAGAACTGGTCTGACTTTGCAAGAATACATTATTGTGTGATTAACATATTCTAAATTCCCTCTGAGAGATTCAAAACACACAGCATCATAGTAAAGGCTCTGAAAAGTATTTCACTAAAGAAACTGGCCCTGAAATCCACATCTTTTTGTTCTTCCTTGACGTTTTTTAGTACCAGTGTCTGGTGTGACGCTGTTGTGAGGAATCACTGGTTTATTTCTGCAAATGATAGAAAGCCAGTGCCCCCAATGCCGGTGAGTGTAACACCATTTAACACAATGCACGCTGTGTGGGAGCTGAGCTTCAGGGATGAGACATATCATTAGTGATGCCTGACACACCCTCTTAACTTGCTTTACCTTGTCAAGTCCCTCAGCTGACACAGGCTACAATCACAGAAGCCTTGGTGACCTCACACACAGTAGTGCTGAATACTGCTTTTGTCAACATCATGGTACTAACTTTAGCAGACACTAAACCCTCCAGGCACTGCAAGGTCAGCATGGGAGGCCAGGAATCCCTGTAAATAGCTCTGTCACTTAACCTTGAGCTCCATATTAATATGCCTCAGTGTTTACATCTGCAAAATGGGAACACCAATCTTATGAGACCATTGGACAGCTTACTGATCAATGATATAAGATATCAGGCCATGACAGTTGCAATTATTGCAGAGATCCTGGGACATCCGAGATAGAGCTAGAACAACTGCCTTGTCTCAGTCCACTCAGCCTGCTATAACAGAATTCCATAGATTGAATGGTTCACAAACACCAGACATTTAATTCTCACAGTTTTGGAGACTAGAAGTC